CTAAGTGTCTGGCGCTTGGCTAGAATGCCACTTGCCATCAGCTTTAGTTTATTTTGAGTAAGTGTTTGGCGTTCAGCTTGTAGTGCCAGCTGCCACTGACTTTGTTAAGTGCCTGGCGGTCGGCTAGAATGCCATTTGCCACTCGGCATTAGTTTATTTTTGAGCAAGTGTTTGGCGTTCGGCTTGTAGTGCCAGCTGCCACTTGTTCTGCTACGTGGGAAGAATGTCAATTAATTTTTAAGCAAAGTAAACTTTTTTTTCATAAAACTTGAAAATTTCGTACACTTGCAAGTATGCAATTCAAAACGAGCATATTGTTTGGAATTAAACCCTACTTTTACTGGTAGTACTTTTTCAGAGACGTGGCATTCCATGGTTTACTACCAACCTTCTTGCCATGGTCTCCAGGACGTATGCCCCCTTTCCTATGACTTCTGTAATTCTGTATGGACCTTCCCACGGTGAAAACATTTTTTTGACTATCCCCACCTTCCTTTTAAGAACCAGATCGCCAAGGACGAAGTCTCTGTGCTTCACCCTCTTGTTATGGCTATTTAAGAGCGTCTGTTGATAAGAAGCAAGCCTTATTGCAGCTGTGTCCCTTTTTTCCTCTGGCAGATCAAGATTAAACCTTAACATTCTATCATTCTACTCTTGATTCCACGCCAAGCTTCTAACGGTTGGAACTAAGGGTCAGTTTGGTAGAGTATAAATGGGAGGAAAAGGATGGGAAGGTGATGGAGGGGGATTAAAAATGTGTGTTTGGCAAAAATTGTTGGAAGGAAATGGAAGGGAAGGGAAGGGTTTGGAGGGTTAACTTGTGCCTTCAACAGTAGATTTCTTAACCTCCCAAAAATGGGAGGAAATGAAGGGAAGGGAAGGATAGCTTGGTGGGTGATTTTAGATGCCAATTTTACCCTTAAGATTGCAGAGAGAGAGAGACCGCCAGTGATTGAAGCTTAGAACGGTGAACCAGAATTGGAACAACGGCCATGGAAACTGAAAGATATGGGTTTTGGATTTTCTGAACAATCTGAAATGATACACCAATACGGGTTTGAACTTTTGATTCTTGCAAACAGATAGATAAACTGGAAATATATGGGTTTTGAATTTCTAATTCTTGTAGAGAGAGAGAGAGAGAAACCAAGTTCAGTGTTGAGAAGGAGTTGCAGAGATGGAGCGAGATTGGGGAGGCTGAATTGATTTGCCTTAATTTTTTTATTTTTCTTTTCTTATGGCCTCAAGTTAAAGACTTTATATATATATATATATATAGTTTCATGTACTTGCCAAAAAAGAAATAAAAAAATTAGGGCAAATCATTTCAGCTTCCCCAATCCTATATATATATATATATATATATATATATATTTATATTTTAAAATATAAAGGTGTATAATAGTTAATATGTTAAAATAATTCCCTTCCCTTTCTTTTCCTTTCTTTTCCCAAACATAATTATTAGCCTTCCCTTTCTTTTTCTTCATTAATCAACCAAACGCGATGGAGGTTTAAAATTATCCTTCCCTCCCTTCCCTTTTCTTTCCCTCATAACTAATGTTATCCTTCCCCTTCAAACCCACCGTACCAAACAAAGCCTAAGTGTTCGACTAGTATCACTACCTCGGTGCCGTACGCCATAGCGAATGGGCTTTCCCTGGTCGGCCGTCTTGGGGATCTTCTGTAAGCCCACAAGACATTTGGAAGCTCGTCTAACCATTTTCCTTTTTCATTTTCGAGCTTCTTCTTGATGCAGGCAAATATTGTTATGTTCGTGATCTTAGCTTGACCATTAGCCTGGGGATGACTGACTGCTGCCAACTTCTGATTAATTTCATATTCTTCCAGCAGCTCCTTCACTTGCTTGCTATCGAGATTGGTCCTATTATCCACAATGATCGACCTTGGCACGCCAAAACGATAGATAATATTATTCCAGATAAAGCGTCTTACTTGAGTTTGGGTGACACTAGGGTATGGCTCTGCCTCCACCCATTTGGTGAAATAATCAGTTGCTAACAGAACATATTTGTTCTGCGATCTTGTTTTCGGCAGAAGGCCAACCACATCCATCCCCCACTGCGCGAAAGGCTATGGCGTGGCCATTACGTGCAAGTCTTTAGGTGGTTGGTGTATCAATGGTCTGAACCTTTGGCATTTATCGCATCTTCTAGAGAATTCTTCTGCATTCCGTGCCATGTTTGGCCAAAAGTACCCTTATGTCATTGCTGTGTGCCAAAGATCTTCCTCCTGAATGATTTCTGCATACACCTTCATGAATGGTTCGTATGATATGTCTAGCCTTTGTTAGGGTAACACACTTCAAGTATGGACCCGAAAAGGACCATCTGTACAACTGATCACCCACAATAGCATGTTTCGCGGCGTTGGACCTGATTTTTCTTGCTTCATCTTTCTGTTTGGGTAGCACACCATCACGTACAAAAGCCATGATCGGATCAATCCAGCTTGGCTCATTTGGTATAACATTAACTTGCTGAACGCTCGGATCAGGCTGTTAATAAAAAATGGACAGCTGGATTAACACGTCAACCGGGATGACTCTAGCCAGTGTTTCTCCAGAACTGGATGCACTACAGGCTAAACGATCGGCATCTTCATTATACTCCTTCGGCAACTAAATGAAGCTGATTTGATCGAAGTCTTTTGCCTCACACAGAACTGCGGTTCGGTATGCTTCTATAGTCTTATCTTTGGTTCCGTATTCTCCAGTTACTTGCCAAATGATTAGCTGTGAATCACTATAAGCAATTAGATTCTTGATCTTCAGCTCTTTAGCTAACTTCAGCCCAGCTAATAATGCCTCATATTCAGCCTCGTTGTTGGTTGCTTTGAACTCAAGTCTAATCGCTTGGCTCAGTGTGGTGCCCTCTGGTGTTTGCAATTTGATTCCAATTCCTGCCCCCATTTGATTTGAAGAGCCATTTACAAAGAGCTTTCATAAGGAACAACTATAATATTCCTCCAAGTCTTCAACATCGCATTCAAGTAGGAAATCAGCCACCGCTTGACCTTTGATTGCCGTTCTGGGTTCATATGTAATATCAAACGAGCTCAACTCAATGGCCTATTTTGTCATTCTGCCTGATAGGCCTGGCTTGTGCAAGATCATCCTTATAGGAAAAGTAGTCAAGACGATAAAAAAATGGGATTCGAAATAATGTCTGAGCTTCCTTTTCGCGTTGACCAATGACAAGATCATCCGTTCGGCCTTTGAGTACCTTTTTTCTGGCTCGGCCATTGTTTTGCTGACATAAAACACTGGGAATTGCTTTCCGTCTTTGCAACGGATCAGAACGGCACTTGTCGCGATGCTGGATACCCCAAGGTACATAAAGAGCTTCTCATTTGGCTCGGGAGCAGATAGAACTGGAGGGTTTCGCATGTAATCTTTCAAGCTAGTTAATGCCTACCATTGTTCATCCCCACAGGCTTGCCTTCCATGGCTTCGAATTATGTCAAAAAATGGTTTACAACGGTCTGAGAGCTTGGAAATGAATCGGCTCAGTGTAGCTATTCGACCTGTAAGTGCCTGCACTTCCTTAGTTATCGTTGGTTCTACATTTCTGATTAGAGCTTCCGCCTGGGCTGGGCTAGCCTTAATTCCTCTATGATTGACCACATGTCCCAAGAATTGACCAGAGCTCACGCCGAATGGGCATTTGGTCGGATTAAGCTTCATTCCGTATTTCCTCCAACACATCGAACACATCCTGTAAGTGCGCTAAGTGATCATCCTTCTTTTTACTCTTGACCACCATATCATCAATGTAAGCCTCTACAGTTCTCCCCATTTGGCTTTTGAAAATCTTGCTGATCAGCCTCTGATAAGTAGCTCCAGCATTCTTTAATCCGAATACCATGACTTTGTAGCAGTAGGTCCCTCGTTCAGTAACAAAAGAAGTTTTCTCTTCATTAATTGGGTTCATAGGGATTTGATTATAACTAGAATAAGCATCTAGGAAGGTTAATCGCTTGTACCCTGTGGTGGCATCCACCATTTGATCAATAATTGGTAATGGGAAGCTATCCTTTGGGCAAGCTTTGGTCAGATTAGTGAAGTCAATATATACTCTCCATTTCCCATTCTTTTTCTGCACAACAACGACATTGGAGAGCCAGGCGGGGTACTGAACTTCTCTAATGAATCCTGCCTCGAGCAACCGATCGATTTCTTCAGCTATGATTCGATTGCGTTCTGGAGCAAATCTTCTATGCTTCTGCTTCACAGGTTTTGCGTTCGGATCTACATTGAGGGAATGACAGGACACAGAAGAACTAATCCCTGGCATATCTGAATGGCTCCATGCAAATACATCTGCATTCCGAGTCAAGAGGTCATTCAACCCTAGTTTTTCCTCTTTAGTAAGTCTGGATCCCACCCTCGTTGTTCGGTCTGGCTTCTTATGGTCGATCTGCACATTAAAAAGAGGTTTTGCGGTTAGAACTGGTGGCTCCTCCTCCCCACTTTTGCTGGGTGGAGGTTCCTATAATTGTTATTTTGGACTGGCAGAACGGATATGATTTTTCCCCTTTCCAGCAGATTTCAAAGTCACTGAATAACATTCTTTAGCTGCAACCTAGTCCCCATGAATGTCTATCACCTTGGTCCCATCTAGATCCAAGCATCGCATCACTTGATGTAGGGTTGATGGGACACCCTGAACTTTATGAATCCACCCTCTTCCCATTAAGAGGTTGTAGGATGGATGAATTTCTACGACCACAAAACTCTCAGTCAAGACTCTTTCACCAGCTTGTATTGTCAATTCCACCATTCCAATGGGCTCCACCTGCTTCCCATCAAATCCTAGCAATGGATTTCATGTGGGTTTAAGTTTCTCGGGTTCGATCTCGAGCCGATTGAACGTCACTCTGGGCATGACGTTTGCATTGCTTCTTGGGTTAATCAGAACTTTTTGTACCAGGCATTCTGCAACTGTTAGACTGACGACCAGTGGATCTTCATGAGGAACCTAAACGCGTAGCAGGTCTGTTTTGTCAAACTTTATCTGTGCTGATACGTTCTGCTGATGCAAAGTATGTACACTGCCAATCATTTTCTTCAACTGGGCCTGGCGTAATCGCGTTCTGAGCAACTCCTCTGACTCCGTTGTCTGTTCAGGTCGGCCATGAATTGCATTTATAATCCGAACGGGCTGAGTACTGTGGTGGTTCGGCTTCTGATTTCTCTTGATCTGTTCAGCCGGTCGATTCTGCTCTTGCGCCGGACCTTGAACATATCTTACAAATTCCCCCTTTGCGATCAACATCTCTACTTGTCTCCTTAAGTTCCTGCATTCATTAGTCTGATGTCCAAAATCACTAAAGAAAACACAATGTTTAGTTTGATCCATTTGTTCAAGAGGTTGTCTGATTGGTAAGGGAGGGCAAAACTTATCTTTGTTCTTTTGATATAGCCTTGTTAGAGTGACTCTGAGTGGAGTAACCAACTCCTCCTCTTTGGACTTTTTCTCTGCCTTCCAGGAGGTCTGACGTTGTGGCTGAGCTTGTTTTTGCTGGATCTTGGCTTTGGACTTCTTTTCTATCAAAATAATTGACGTCTTCCTTGCATTAGCTGCCTTTTCTTCTTCCAGATGCACAAAACCATCAGCTCTCTCGTTCAGCTCGTCCATGGTCTTCGGCGTATTGACCACCAAGCTTGTGTGGAACGGTGTCCCCTGGTTCATTGCAAGTTTAAATGCTTGGACCGTTGTGGATGGATGACATTCCATTACCATGCTTTTAATAAGGTTGAACCGGGTGAGGAAAGCTTGGAGTCGTTCATCTTCGTGCTGCTTCATTGTGAAAAGGCTTGATATATCCTTAGTCGAGCGTTTATTCCTATAGTACTGGCTTATGAACTTGTCACACAAGTCCTGGAAACTAGCGATTGAGCCTTGAGCCAAATTCTTGAACCAATTGAGGGCTGGTCCAGCCAAACTTGTAGGGAAGCACTTGCACATCAAAGGATCATTGTTAGTATTCAAAGCCATTTTCAACTAAATGTGGTAAATGTGGTCGATTGGGTCGGTTGTTCCATCAAACAAAATAAAGATCGGCATGGAAAACTTCTTCGGATTCGGCGCGTTTAGAATTTCATCAGTGAACGGAGATGCAACTGTTCTTGCTGATAAGCGCAATGCTTCATTCTCCCTTAAAAACTGTGATGGAACTCCTTGATCGGCAGATCTTCTTTCTGAACTGCGGTAGTCAAATGTTGCCATTGAAGGTCGATAGGGTGGATTAAACGATCTGTCCTCCGCAAACTCACTTGGCCACGGTGATGCAACCCTATGAACGCACACCGGCGCTTCCTCTCGCATGATTCGTTCGCGATGTGGCTCCAAATGAATAAATCCTTCTCGATCCTCTACTTGACGGACATTTGGAGGTAGGTCGTCTACTAGAACTTCATCACGACGTGGATCTACGCGATTGACACCTTTTGGATCACCTTAACGAACATCATGGGACAATAAGACTCCCTCTCCTTCCGGAGGTGGCCTCGGAATTGTAGGAGCCTCATGACACTCCATTCCAGCACGCAACTCTGCATTTTCTTTTCTCAAGGTTTCGATCATGTTCATCAACTCATCGAGCTTCGTCTGCTGGCCATTCTCCAAAGGATTTGAGCTCTCTTCTCCGATCATCATTCCTGATCAGAGCAAAGTCATTAACCGCGAATTTCTTGATCAGATCGGAGCTTTGCTAATGCAAACGCACCAGATCTGGACTCAAACTTGTTGAATTTTGTTCGCTACTAGCCGGATTCAAATTATTTCAGCTACAAGCTTACCAAATTCAGCAATCTCAACAAGTCGCAGCTCGCCAGATCAAGCACAGATCAGATCTATGTAGATCGGACGCCAATCTCTCGAAATCAACTAGAACCAAGATTCATCAAGACAGATCATATTTCCATCAACCTTGATTCAGCTTTCAGAGATCAAGCGTCTTCTTCGCAAAGTGCTTTGAATCGAATAGATCTGGATCAACACCAATAAATCCTCTTCGTCCTTCCCACAGACAGCGCCAATTGAAAATACAAAGAATTTTTCTCAATTGTAGAGAGAGAAACTTTACACTTCCAATAATTTTACAACCTCTTTTCCCTCTCATTTCTACTTATTTATAGATGGTTACAACCACTTAGACGGTTATAACCACTCATGGGTTGAACTTATCTTCATCCCTTTTGTTTGGGCTCAACTTCTTTCATCATAATAGAGCTTCCGTAATGACTTCCTGGACCTGGGCCCATTTAACGAGGACTTGCTCCATCCTGGTTATCCATACCCGACCCGTTCTTAGCAATATGAATCATACCAAGCCCAGATCATTTTTGGTATCTTCAGTATCGATTTTCTAAAGAGTTTGTATCGATCTTTGTAATTGAACTTGTGAACACAAGGAAGCAGGGGAACAATCCACCCCTAGAACATTTTGAAATTAGATCGTGGAACAAAAATTTGTACAAATAATATAAAAATAGATTATTTTCTATAAAAAAATATTTTTAATAAATAAAATATATATACCATATGCTAAAATTGACAATTTTTTTTCTTGTCAAAAATCAATATCCGATTATTCATGTAAATATAATAGTGGAAGAAAACTATTACAACATATGTTCCATTGTATTTACTATAGCATTGGAGGGCACAAATGCTCCATGTGGTACATGACACCAATGAAATCACAGTAACCAATTATATACAATATTGTCAAGATCAGACAGTATCCTATGAGTTCTCACATTCTCATATTTTAGAATACAAGTTTTAAATGATGGAAAATGATTTTATGGCGGATTTGATGTAATTTATTTTCTTTATAAGTTGCAATAACAAATAATCATGTTCGGTACCAAGGGTGTTGTAATTTAATAGTATTTTCTCTACCTTTCAAAATGAATAGTGTAGATTAAGTCTTTATAAAGACAAATGAGTGCGTACATTTCTTGCCATATAATCATATAAATTAACAATAATGTTCCATCAAACAATTATCTTTTAACTATTTGGCTTACTCAATATTACCTTGTTTGTTTATATTGATTAAATAATTAATTAGGATTAATCAATTTAACTTTTATTAAAATTTTATTTACAGTGTAGAAGTAAAAAAAGGAAGTACACTATATTACCTTGTTTGTTTATATTGATTAATTAATTAATTAGGATTTAATCAATTTAACTTTTGTTAAAATTTTATTTGGAAGTATTGAATTGACGTCTTACAATTGAAATTAAAAAAAAATAATCTAAACTTTGAACTAAGTTTTATTCAATTCCAAGTAACGGATTTGTTTATCCAGAACATAACATAGTATTAATTAATAACTTAATAACAATTGATTAAAATTGAAATATAGTAAGAAGTAATCAATCTTAAATACAAAATCTATTCACATTAACCACTTCTATAATTCTCACATGATATAGAATATTATTTCTTTAACTTGATAATACATGGTATTCTAAGTATGCATAGCAACATATTACTCAAGTAATTGGATTGCTTTTCGTGTTCGAACTGTGTTCTGACTTTGTACTCTCCTCTCCACCTAACAATTAAGGCTTAATATTCTTGCCATGAAATAATAATAATAATAATAATAATGTATATATATATATAATACTAATATGTACACATTTGGACATTAAAATTATGATTTAGCCAATTTTGTGTCTACCCAAAGATTAGCAGGAGGAGAGAGAAAGTGAAGTCAGGCACGAACAGAAATTATTAGATGTGTCTGAATTATTAATACTTGATGGATCAATTAAATACAGACTCTAAAATTAAAAAAATGACCTTACAAAAATTTATTAATAAATTACAAAATTTTATAATTGAAGAATTTTTTTTCAATTATTTCATTAAATGTCAAATAGATCGTAACTACTTAATAATTTCTCAGCACACGAGGGCTTTTCATTGTTTGCTAAATTGAAAGGTGACACTTGGAATCGTATAATTGGATTTCATCAGGTTCCTCTTCGTGGCAGTTTGTTAAGCAGCCAATCAAATACCGTCCTGTCACGCGTCCAATAAAAAGCTCTTTCTGATGCCGTGGCAAATTTTGATTGGCTAACTTGGTAGACTTTTGTTGCGTTGGCGTCTGCATTATTATTGCCTACTGCGGGCACGACCACGTAATATAATCACACTAATCACTACCGGCGCATAAATTCACTTCTAGAAAGAGAGACAGATAGAGGAGAGAGAGAGGTGAAGATGAGTTTCAGCTGTGCATCGAAGGCTGCTTCAATTCTTGTTCTTCTCGTTTTTGCCACATTAGGTAACTAATTCAAAACTAAGCAAATTGTCTGTTTCTACTAGTGTTCTTCTCGATCTGTGATTGAGCATTCGCACATTTGATCTCTCACACAATCTCACAATTGTTAATAATGATGATCTCGATATGATTTGATTAATCTGATAAAATCACAAAAAATGAATTGATTTCTCTTCATTGTTTTTCCAGTTTCGGCGAAGAAATCGGGGGATGTCACGGAGTTACAGATCGGTGTGAAGGTTTGATCCTCTCATTCCTTCGTTTCATTTTTTTGTGTGTGCTTGATTTCTTCCAATATAGATACATTCTTTCAGTTGATTTCATTTTCAATAGAAACAAACAATAATCTGTTATTCAGCTGTCATATTGGAACATATTGTGTGGTCGATTCACATTTTAGCTTTAATATGATGGCGTTAGTTTTTTTCAATCAAGAGGAATATCAATTATGTGTTACTAGTGGGTGAATTTTTGTAGGTGGAAAATGTTATCTTACTTTCTGTTTACGTTGAAAAACCCTAATGTGGTGGCGGCGGTGATGGGGAGAAAGGGACACCTTTTTGACATCCATAAGAATTTGATGGGATTTTGGTTGGAGTTCTAGGAGATAATGTGGTTCTGAGGAGCTCTTTTTTTTAAAAAAAATCATGTTCAGGCAACCCTGCTGTTTCCAAAGTGCTAAACAGTTACTGATATGATCACGGGTTGGCATTTTTTTGTGTGTTTGATTTTAAGAATTGGAACTTCTACTTTTTCCTATGGAGAACTAAAAATACTCTCAGCGAGGCTGTGTACACTATAACATGGAACTTCGTACACGGCAACGTTTAAGAATTCCATGATATGAATCCAGTAGAAGTGAAATGTGTTTTTCTTTTTATGATGGAAATGAGGGAGTCAGCTTCCATTATTTTGAGAAAGTGTGCAACTGTTATCAGTAATATACATATCATCATGATGCATACAATGAAAATACTAGGGTTTTCTTTCTTCTGATACTAATTTTAGGATCTAGATCGATTTCTCCTGGAAACATAGTGTGATGGGTTGTAACATTGTTCGTCAATCGAGTTATTTTTGGCACAAAAAGAAAAAAAAAAAAAAGAAAAAAAAAAAGAAGAATAAATAAAACAAATTGTGGAATTTCTTGTTTTTTGAAATATTCCTAATCACTGAAATTTAGTGATAACTTGCAATGTCTTCAGATTGTATATGATACTTGAATATAGAAGAAATCGTTACTGCACTTGCAGTGACTTGATATTTGAAAAAGCATTTAGTGGTTTGCTATATATATATATATATATTTATCCTATTTTAAAATAATATACTAGGATACATTCTGGTTATGGATTTCATTTAACTGAATTGGTATCTCTTCAAGTTTATTTCCTGGTGAAAGGAGACATTGGCACTGTGCAATGATAAGTGCATTCATTGTGTATATACAACATGTGTAGTAAGCTTGTGAAAGTTATCGTCCTTGTTTATTGCCTGCTTTGTTGCTTAATTAGCTTTTGGATCTTCCTTGTTGCAGCATAAGCCAGCTTCTTGTGACATTCAGGCTCACAAAGGCGATAGAATTAAAGTACACTACAGGGTGAGACTGTAGTTTCTTCTCTTTCTTCTCTCTCTATCTCTCTCTCTCTATCTATCTATATATATATATTCATCTATTGGGTATATTTGTGCAAAATTATGCTATAGGTTAAGTCAATAACCAGTCGTAATGCACGTTCTGCACTCATTTAGATTATTATATGAGAAAATATGAATTTACATATGGAAAAATAGCACATTTGTGTTGCCATCAAAGTCTTAAATTGTGAAATTGATGTGCATTTCTGTCAGTGGACTGGTTTTATCAATTTGAGCACATTGCAGTTGGAACGAATTGCGCAGTTATGGAGGGGCTATTGGAGATGTTGTTTATTTTAAATTTCTGGCTGGATACTGGATGCCCTTTAGGTAATAGAAGAAGGGTGATTTGACGATTATTTGTCGATAAGGCTTCTTCTGTTATCTTTTATTTGTCAATAAGGCATCGCCTGTTTTCTTTACTGGTGTTTAAAATAAATTTTAGATGATCATATAAGAGAATATGAGATTACCTTTGACCACAGTGTGGTTTTTGCTTTTTGTCAGATCTTAACCTGTGAGACTATTTCAAACTAAAATGTTGAGCCACGTAGTTCTAAGGAATCACTCCCTTGGTGTCAAGTTGTTACAGACTCTAACTTACAGTTGTGTGAAAGAAGCAATATGAGTGAGCTCTGGATGGATGTTATTCAGAAAAATTCCTCCAAGTTTAAATCATCATTCCCTTGGACCTGTTTTAATTTTTGTAAAAATTTTGAACTTCGAAGGAAACCTGCACTTTTGGTGTCCATATTCTTAAGCGTTGATAAATTTTAATGTAGAACTAACCCTAAGAAAATTGAACTACATTGAAAGGATTTTTGTTTTTAGAAAGAGAATTAGGGACTGTAATTAGGATGAAATTCTATGACAATGATTGTGAGAAATGAAAAACTAAGTTGGCATGGTATAAACAGGACATGTTAGTTTTGATGGTACGGTAGTAGGAAACTCATTAACAAGATAAGAAAATGGAATTGCTACTGGGCGTCCTCTTTGAAGTTAGGCGCACATCTGCCTTCTTGTTTTGGTCGGACACCTTGATAAACCAGTTTTGCGTCCAGATGGATCCCTTGTTAGATAGAATATGGTAGACTGCTAGTAGATGGATTTATTTAGAATGCCTATCCATGCAAATTGCATATTTAATCTTATTAGGAGCACATCCTTGAAAAGTGTGAATTTACTAATGCATGTTATCCTACATTCTTTTCTTTTTTTTTATTCTTTTTTTTTTTTTTTAAATTAAATTTATTTTTTGCTGATAGGTATTCTATATTATCCTTTATATGTCTCTAAGATAAGACAATAACTGGGAAAAAATATAATGAATTTCTTTCAGATTGGATATGGTTTACTTGTTGCTTATTGGATTGTGGTTTTTGCATTCTAATTAAAAACAAGAGCTACTTGTTCCTCCCTCATAGATTAAATATGTGAGAAGTATAATATATCACTATAACTGTTCAAGCATTCACACTTGTTGATTTGTGCTGTAAAAAGTAAACATTTGACATAGCTCCATAAATGACAGAAATATTATTTCCTTACTCATACTGATTCACTTATTTTGGCAGGGAAAACTAACAGACGGAACTGTCTTTGATTCCAGCTTTGAAAGGGGTGACCCGATAGAGTTTGAGCTCGGTAGTGGTCAAGTGATTAAAGGTGTTTAATAATCTAAGAACCAATTACTTTTGGATGCTTAGCTATTCCCTTTGCACTTCTAATAAAACAGAGAAGTGGAACAAAGCTAGACTGGGTTACAATTTTTTTTGAAGAAATTAATGAGGACATTCACTAGGAAAGGTTGTGTTTGTCTTATGGTTCATGTATTTATCACATTACAGGGCACCTTGGGTTCCTTACTGTGCTTGAAAATAGAACATTAAGTCTTCATAGCAAGTAAATATCTGCTAGAAATGATAACAGTTTTTAAAGTAGCAGTGAATGGATATGAGACACTGTCCTGATAAGATACCAGCATGATATGATCAAGGCACTCCAACATGTCAAATTTTAAAAATGTAGGACGTGGATGTGGCGTGGATACAATAATATATGTAATTTTATTTATATAAATATATTATATGTGCAACAATAGCTACACTTGTTAGGAAAATGACAAAGTCCTTATTGAAGGTAATGCTAGAAGGGAAAGATTAATTAACAGAACTAGGGAAAAAAAGACTATAACTAACATTGGTTGAGCTAGTTAGGAAAGATGTGCTAGCATGTAGTTTTTGAGGCTGTGATCCTGTGGCCTTAGCATCTCAAATAGTTGGGAAAAAGGTTTAGTTTACTTGAGTATGCATCAATTATATAAAACGACCATTGAATTTGATAAATTTTCTAATTTCAATGTAAGAATTGTATATGTCAAGGATTAAGCAATACAAATATCATAATGACACTCTTCTATTGCTCTCTTATTATATTTTTGCAATTGGAAATTTTCTTTTCCTATATTAAGAAAATTTCCATTTGCATGCTTGACTTGTGATGACAATTTTTCTCAAAGACAAAAAGGTTATTGTTGGACATGATTACTTTTAAAATGTTTTGTGCTACATAAGCCTTGCGATGGGGAGTATTTGGGATGTGAAATATTATTTTGAATTATGGACACTTGTTTTGAACTGTCTGTGAAGTGTCGGTGGCCTGCACATGTCTGACATGGACACAACACTTTTGTAGAAGAACAATGTTTCTAAAACTGTTGCAAGAGACAATGTGAGTAAGGAAAATTGAAGATTTGCCTTTTAATTTCTATAGTTTCTATACAATGAGTAATGGGTAGGAATGTAGGATGTTTGGGAGAAGACCAATTAAAAAAGACATTGGAAATGTATGGGAAAAAAAAAAATGAAAGATATATTGATACTCTGTTACTACCTTATATCTAACACGTGAAAGAGTTCCTCGAAGAATCAAAATTGTTTTTGAGGCTACCATTCTTCACCCAGTACACGTGAAAATGATGCTTGTCTGTTCATGCCAAATCTGCTACATGATGCGAAAGGGCATGACATATTATTAGCTTGTCAATCACCTATTATTGTTTTTGGAAAAAGGATTATTACAGTGCTTTATTGTTCACTCCTCTGGAGTCTGGGTATAGCTCTATCAAAAATGTACTTTAATATGCTTTGGTGGGTAATATGTGCTACAAAAGGACTTCCAAACAATATGTGCTGTTTCCCAGCATGCATTTTGTACACAATTATATCGAAACACCACATCTCAACCACATGAAGACATGTTAAAGCAATGTTAATGTCCATTGATAATTTAGAAAAGGAAAGTTTGTTGTATGAATAGATGTATTGATGCGTAGATTTCTATGCTGGATATTTATTTTTTAGATGTTATTTTTCGATTATAGAGCAGCTAGCATATTATACTATGATACGATCTCCTTTAAGAGTACATAGATGTTCTACTTTTGTACAACCTTCATTCAGCTCTATATGTATGTCATTCAGTTCTATTCATACCCTTTTTAAAGGAATTTTCTATGCCATATGGATGGCTAAATTAGTAAAGTTCCAATGCTACTGTGAATGTTGTTTTGTTCTAAAAAATGTCTTCCTTACAGGGTGGGACCAAGGACTGTTGGGTATGTGTGTAGGAGAGAAGCGGAAGTTGAAGATACCTGCAAAACTTGGTTATGGTGCCCAGGGGTCCCCGCCAACCATCCCAGGTAACCCTTGTTCTTATTTTCCTTCTGCTTAATCCTCTTGCTGGAGTTAGTGTAATAAATGTTTTGGATTTAATCAACAATTTATCAACTTTGGCAATTCAAAAAATTTCTAAACAAGCTATTTTCTAAGACGTTTCCTTTATCTCCCACAAACCCCTCCGTACCTCCACAAATTTTCATGGTAGATCCTGAATTTGGAACCTTGTGGTAGAGATCGTTAATAGATTATGAAATATGATGTGGATCCTGGGTTCAATGTCTATCCTATTTGTGGAACATAATGATTGCTTGTTATGATGAACGTATGTATATATTTTATTCAGTTTCCTTCTTTATTGTTTAGTTAAAATGCAGGACTTATTTCTAAATAGATCTTGCATCCTTGTGATCCATGTGTCTGAAGATGTAGCAGGTCCACATCTCTGTGTCGGTATCTCGTTCACTTCTAGTTAAGATTGATTATTTGTAGAGAGACATCAATTTGGGCCTTTATTATATGGTTCCTCACTCGATCTGATTCATTTCATGTCTTGCATTACGTGATTAAGGAATGGCGAATGGGGTAATCAAAATTAAGTATTGGAGTCAGGCATTTGTCTCCCATGGTAAGGACATCTCTTATGGGGCTGCAATGCATTTGTTTCCTCTGTGGCCAAGACAATACAGAGGCCACACATTCATGTATAGTAATGAACATAACGGCCCTATTATTCCGATGGAGAGAAGAAACTTTAATTAGCTTTTTCATCAGGAATTGATAATGTCTTAACAGTACCCAGTTCTTGGACATTGTTATTGCCTTTAAGGATTTCAGCCTCTTGATTTTATGGCTTGTCACTCACTTCTAAGTCTTGAAACAAAACAACCATAACATTGTATATGCTTGAGAACTCAAGCTTTATCAGAGAACCATGGTCTCTGCTTCTCGGTGTAGATGGAATAATGTATTCTGCTGTAGGTTTATTATCTTTGTGTTAATGTTGGACGGTGCTGCATTCGAAATCCTTTATCTGAATTTCTACTTCATTTTGCTGCTCAAGATGTGCGATTCAAGATAAAATACAGTATGTAAACTAGAGTCTAAAATTAATGTTTAATGTAGCACTGGTGCTTCTCTTTTTTACTTTCTGCCTGTTTTATTCAAAATATTATGATGCTATGTTTGGCGGCACCGAATTGGCGCCTTGGATTTGGGATTGGAGAAAATTTAGTACAAAATTTGAACTATACTTCTTCCAATCCCAAATTAAAGGTACCGATTCATGATTGTAAAGTATCATCACGTTTCTTGAACACTTACAGGTGGTGCGACACTTATCTTCGACACTGAGCTTGTTGCGGTGAATGGCAAACCATCAAGTAAAGGGGAAACAGAGGATAGCGAGCTGTAGTCAGAGGACGACGATGTTGAAGATTTTTCCTGGTAGTTTAGTTTCGGGAATGCCAAAATATTGGCATGGCACCTGGTCAATATAGACTGGATGTTTATTTGGGTTTCATTTTGTAGTTTAAGATACAGAATTGGTCTACAGCCATGCCTAACGTTCTTGGACATGGCTGGAGTGCAGGATTTATTATTATTTTTTCCCCCAAATCAGGGCTCAACCGAAATAGCTGGGTTGTACGGATAAATCAATTATTGCCAAAAGAGATTGCATGTTGCTTTTGAACATTCACTTGCAGAAAAGAAGAGGGATGGTATGCCTCACTAAGGCATCTTTTGAGACCAATGCTTTTCTTTTCTATGTTTTCTTGCAGAGATGGTAGGTATTGATTCAAAGTCCACTCAACTCATGTTTCAGGGTTTTCAAAAATATATTTTAACTCTAAAAAAAAAAATTCAGAAACTTTTTTTTTTTTTTTTGGTATACAAATGTACTCACACTGATGTTTTATAAGTTTATAACTGATCATTTTAACTTTTGAGGTTGAAATTTGCCAGTACAAAACTATGCAAGTGTGTCACTGTTTTCACTAAAACTGAATTTTAGAAGGAAAAAAACGTGTTGGGGAATGGTGAAATCTTAATGAAATGTCACAAATCTTAAATTTGGCATTTGAAATCTTTTCCTTCTAATGAAAATAAACTTTAGGTAATCAATGTTCATTTCATAAACATGAATTAACAATTATATATGTGTGTGTGTGTGTGTGTCGAAAACTCACGAAGTTTACTATAATTACATAAACTTATGTTCTTACGGGAGCTTGGTCAATTATGCTTCCACCTGATTAAGAGCTTTTTACATGGGTTTATTCTGTTAAAAAGTTTTACTTCACAATATTTTTGTTATTATTCTAAATATATATATTTTTAATCGATGCATATGGATCCTTTTGATGAAAATGGGATGATAGATGCAAAATGCTAATTATGAAAAGGAAACAAGGTAATTTGATTAGTCATGGATGTTTAGATTTTGTGATTTTCCGTCCGTAACAATTTAGTAATATTTTCATTTAAATGATGCTTTTGTAATATTTCTCTATTGTAGCAAGGATTCATTTTTGTTTTTTATTTTTTATTTTATTAAATTTGTAAAACATGAAGTCTATTTAAAGTAACCAATGCAAATATATATATATATATATATACATAATATTGGAAGATGTGAACTACCATTTAGAATTTTCTCTCAGAGAAGTTGTAATTACATACCTTTTTATCTCTCAAGTAGGGATGCCAACGGGGCGGGTATGGGTAGGGGGTGGGTATGGGTAGGTGTACCCTTCCCCGCCTCTGCAACCGTTTAAAAATCCTGCCCTCGTTCCCGCCCAAAACAGCAAAAATGGGGAAACTTTCCACCTCATCCTCATAACCGTTTAATATTTTTACCCCTACTGGTACCCTCCTTGTCCCGTTTAAGATCATAATTTATTTATTGTTGAAATAGATTTGCTTCTTTTTTTTTTCATCTTCAATTCTTCCATTACAACTTTCTTTTTAATCAAATTCATTTGTTACTTTGATATTGTTATTTGGGATACTTAATATATAGTGGTAAACATATATATACTAATGAAATAAGAGTTTTTATGTAATTTGCCTATCTAAACGAGGCGGGGCAACCTCCCCCCGCCCCCACATCAAACCCACACGAATTTTTATTACATCAAACTATCTCCTCCCAAATAAATAAAACGATCCCCCAAAATTGTCAAAAACAATGAAGGGCTCACTTCGACGTTTCCAATTTCCCATAGAATCTCCGGAGCTTTCCTAGCCACTATCGTTTTCTTTTTTTATCTTCTTTGTCTGAAAATGGGTTCATGACCATTGAACAAAGAAAGATCCTGATAAAAGGAATCTAAAGAGGTTTATCGGCAAACCGCTGCTTTTCGGTGAGACACATATCCCAGGATTGAAACCTAAGAGTAAGAAACGTCATGCTTTCATTGTCGCGGATACGGAAACTGTTATGATTGATAATGCGTGATGTCCCTTATGCAGCCGGGTTTCTAGTTGTGCAGCTGGGTGAAGATGTTGGAGCCAAGCCTGCACATGCCTTTGAAACCTTTTATAGTGAGGACTATCTGCTTATTATGTCTGAATTTAAAGACCGCAATCGTCAACTTTCTTGGTCGCTTAGCCGTGGTTGCTAGAAGTAGAAAGATTCAAAGGGTATATGGGTAACTGTGGGGGCAGGTCAAATTGCCATCCCTACTCTCAAGTAAATGTGTTGAGTGTGAAGTCCACTGACTTATTAGGCTTCAAGTCTGTCTGTAGCAATTGAGGATGTTTCAGTTTTTCCAAGTTATTTCCTTGTTTTGTTCTTTACACACACACATACACACACAAAACATGTGTATCTAACTTTTATATACAAGGTATTTCAAAACTGTAAAAATGCTCAAACTTCAGAAGTATTATAAAAACCCTTTCTTTTATTAGTTGTTATTTTTGTCAAGTTCTTTGCACAACTTTCCCAAAACTCACATTAATCTATTTCACTTTGTCGTTATCTCTATATTACCCTTTCAATTTTTTCCTAACCTAACTAGAAGAGGGAATCATAAGTCTTTTTTTCAAGTCCATAAACAAAATCTTTCAACTCTTTTTTTTTAATCCCATCTCACTTTTTGTAAAGACATTGCTACTCATGCCCAACTCTTCAAAACACATGCCTAAAAAAATAGGATGCATGTAGTTTAGCCCAACTCGTTGGAGAGTGGGGCTTACCGATTATTATTATTATTATTATTATTATTATTATTATTATTATTATTATTTAGAGTTAAATTTGATATTAAAAATTGGGTTAACTTTGCAATAAAAAATAATAACCGATGAGATTAGATTACAAATTTACTGACAGGGATTGAATTATAAGAAAAATTACTATATAGTTCTGGCCAATCACAAAGTAACACATAAGTAAAAAGTTGATTGATAATGACATAAAATTTACATATTTAATTATGTGTCACTTCGTGATTAACACGGACCAATGGTCCCGGGACTATATAATAATTACTTTCATTATAATCACCTTCATTCATGGTCACTTGAAATTACCAGCTGCAACTCCCTGTGACCCTAACCAATCCCCTCTTGACACGCATGACTGTAACTGCACAAGTTATTGATTACTCTATAACTAATCTGTTATTTGAACAATTGTGTGCGCGAAATTCTCATTGTCGTGGAACTTGGATGAGGGAATCTATGCTGCCATCCCATGTTGCAATTTAAAATGTAGGTGCAATTCATTATTTTGTAGTGGAGCGGATACATTAAAAAAGGAGTTAATTTAATTTAATTTTATTATTATTATCTTTTGCATAAACAATATAATGTAATTGTTACGATATTACTCAGTGGCTTAATTAGTAGAGCCCCAACTCTCTAAGCTGGTGTGCCCGTATTCACTGGGGCGTAACTTAGTGTGAGCTAACCTGAGCTATAGCCTAGGTCCCAAAAAAAAAAAAAAAAAAAATTTGAGTACAACTATTTCTTATCAGTCATAGTCCAGCCCAATCAGTCATAGCCCAACCTATACCCAATCCATAATAAAACAAAAATAACAAATGGCCCAGCCCAGCAATGAGCAACTCTTTGAACAAAAGAAAGAAGCAATAGGCTAAGGAAATCTCACTTATCTTATAAGAGAATATTCATTTTATTCAAATAACTCTTTTGGTGTAACCAAAGCTACATCGTTTGTTTGTTTTGTTTTGTTTTGTTAAATATATATAACATATATTTGTTATAAGTATTATTGTGTTCTTTTTTAAATTTTTAAATTTTTAGCCCCTCTCACTTTGTAATCCTAGCTCCGCCCTGCATTCGAGTTCCCTTCCCCAACTTTAGTCTTTACTAAGGTTTAAAAAAAATAGAAAAAGAAGAAGAAGAAGAAGAAGAAGAAGATATAATATAATTGTTGCACAATCCATGTAATAACCATATATCTTTTGAGAGTTTTCTAGCTGTCTCTCACTTGGGGGAAGATCTCCACATAGGTAACCCATTAATGTTAAGAGACTACTTTTAACAAAGCTAAAAAATTTAGATTTCCCTTGTTTTTTCACATCTTTTTAAACAACTGGATATGCCTAGCACCCAAAAGACGTTTTCCACAATTAGAGAGCCTTATGTTAGACATGACGTTTATCGTGACTAATAAGTTTAACTAGTTTAATTCATTTTATCTCCTCCCCTTAATTTTTGTTATATATATTTTTAACAAAATTATCAATCTCTACTGATTTAGTTTTTCTACTTTTTCTTTCAATTTATTCAGAATGGTATTGGGTTTGCTGAATTTGCCTGTATAGCAGGTGATGAAAGCCTTACTGGAGTTGGGCTAATAAGGACTAGGTATAGGCCCCTAAAGAGAGGCCCAACCGAAGCCCATTCAAAAATACCAAGAAAAACAAACAAGCCCTAAATGCAGCTCATTCAAACGAAAGTCTTCCCTGTTTGGGCTGTATGTAACAGAAGTAACTGAATCAACCAAGGCGGGAGACCATCAACAGGTTGGTACAATCATATCCATGGAATGGAATCGCAAATGGAGTTTAGGGTTTTTGGTTGTTGGCTACAAACATTAGAGAAAACCCTAGCGTTTCGCTGGCTCCAGATGTGACACAAAACCGGCCAAGGTGAGTTTCCAAACTCAAATTTTGCTTGATTTTCTCTTTTGTTTCCAACTGGAAGAAGCCCATATTAGGAAATTTCCTAGACTTTGTGTGGAAACCACATTTATATTGAAGTGCAGCCCAAATACCCTTGGCTATGTTCGGGTTGAAGCCTTGGAATTGGAATCTTTGAAATTAGAGAAAAGATTAGTTCACGGAAAATTGAACTAAAATTTTCTCCAATTATACCAATTCCAAGTCCATGCAGCCGAACATAGTCTTAAAATACTCCCGCCGGTGGAAAGAGTGATTATGGGATTCAGAGGCTTTAAGGCACGATTCACAGGCTTTAAGGCAAAATTACACATATTAGGTTGGATGAGGTAATTTAGGCTAGGTTTGTCTTGGGCAAGAATTTTATCTTGAATGGATAGCCATAAACTAAAGGAGTGTTTTGGAATATTCTTGCTAAACCAAACCAATGGGTGCCAATGAACTGTGTTATGAGGTTGAGAGATGGGTCTAATGCTGTGGGATTGGGAGTACTGGCCATTTAGGGAGTGTTTCCAAGAGACACCATCCTCTTGGCTAGTGTTTGGGTTGGGAAGATTGGGAATGTTGACAAGATTGGAGATGACATTAGGTAACCTTC